TACATCATCATCATCATCATAGAATTCCGAGCTGTTTCATTGTGCTTAACCAATGTTTGAATTCAGAAATGTTTTCAGACTTTGAATTTCTGGCTCGCAAAAACATCATCATCGAAAGACTTTTTTTTTAGTCAACCGAACCGAAACTGTACTGAATTGAACTACGTTTTTTCTTGTTTCATTCATCGAATTGAATGAATGAATGAATGAAACAAGAAGAATAAAGAAAAGAAAAAAAAATGGAACGATGACAACGACAAAGGAACGGGAAAATCCGATTTTCGCCAAATTTTTTTTTCTTTTTTTCCTCGAATTGCTTTTGTGTGTGTGTGTGTGTGTGTTTGCTTGTTCGTTTTCTATTTACGAATATTTTTTCTTTTATTTTTATTTTTTTTAGTTGTCAGAATTTTTTCTCTCTCTCTCGGTAAAGTCGTTTTCGTTTTTCATTCATCGGAAAATGTATTCTGGCCTTTTCATTTCATTTCATTTTATTTTTTTTTTTTTTTTTGTTGAAACCCATTGTTTTTTTCGAATGAACATTTTTCTACCCATTTTTTTCCCTTTTCGGATTAAAATTTAAATTTTTTTCTTTCTCGTTTTTGTTTTTGTTGTTGTTGATGATGATGATGACCATTATGACATTTCCTTTGAGATTTTAATCATTTGCTTTGTTGGAAAAAATTTTGACATTTTTTATTTCAATCTCCCCTTGACAATTCTATTCGAATTTATTATATTCTGATTATACTGAGAAATTTTCAAATCCTACTGATGATGACATTGATATGACTGATGATGGCTTGATATTTTTAGATTATCAAAATTGATTTTGTTGCTGTTTTTGGTAATTAATTTTTTTTTTTGGAGAAAAAAAATTCCGGAAACGAATTTTTTGTTCATTATATAATAATAATCGATTGTGGGACAATCGATTGTTTTACAATCAATTTCATTGGAATTTAAATGTTTTCAAATCAATTGATAATTGTTTCATCAAAATTTCACTCATTTTTTTTTTGGTTAAATAATTTTTCTCATACGAAATTTTTGTGTTTTTATCCAAAAACAAAAAAAAAGAAAAAAAAATTTCTCGAGATTGTTACAGTCGAAAAAAATGTGATAAATGTGTATGGCTGGAACCATGGTACGCGTTGTCAATACATTGAATCACGAACGTGGAAAAAAACCTAAACTGAAATGGAATGAAAAGCCAATACATCATCATATATATGATGATGTGGTGGTGGTGGTGGTGGTAGGCTTTCGATCCAAATTTTTAGCCCCCACCTTAAGCGTTCGAAACAAAAAACAAAGTGTTTTTGATCGTCTAAGAAAAAAAAAGAAAAAACAATAATAATGAAAACACACTGTCAGCTCTGTTTCCGGAATGATCATCGGTTGGTTTGTTTTGTTTTTTTTTTCTCTCGTTTCGATTCGAATTGTTTTTTTTTCGCTACAGAGGAGAGTGGGGGTGTTGGTGGATGGGTTGGCTACCGACCAACAACTATATATACACCCATTTGGATAATGGTTCTATGTTGTGTATTTGATTCGAGTCGATTTTTTTTTTCGTTGTTGTTGTTTTTGGTTTTTTCTTTTTTTTTCTTTCTCGTCGGCAAATTGTAAACACGATAAGAAATACATTCTTGTAGTTGGAGACCATGAATTTGGAATGATTTTTTTTTTGTTTTTTCGTTTGATGTTAATATATATAGCATCTACACACAGATTCATTCATTTAATAATGAAAAAAAATACCGTCGGTTTTTTTTTCTAGAAATCATCATAACCATTACTATGTTTGTTCTCTTCTCTGCCTGAATTCACATGCAAAATATTGCAATAAACAACAACAACAACAAAATGATGCCACAGGGCCCAACATACACACCAAAAAAAAAAAAAAACGAAAAAGAAAAATCGAAAGTAACAACAACAACAATAATAATATAATAACCAGTCAAGAAAAAAAACTATTCTAACAACAACGGTGTGTGTGTGTGTGTAGAATAAATATTTATATATATATATAAAACAAACAAAATGAAAAAAAAGAGACGACAAATAAAAAACACACATATATAGGAAAGAAAAGAAAGAAAAAAAAAATTTGGAATTTGAAATTCCAATTCCCTGCACACCGAAAGTGAAAAAAAAGAGCGCCAAATAGGAAAAAAGCATCACCGATAAAACAGTGGTATTCAAACTTTTTCCATTTTGATACTCAAGTATCTGGGGTGTGGTTTTAAACCCTCTGATCTAAAATAGAATTGATGGTTGGGTTGTATTTTTTTTTTTATTTATATAAAATGGGGTCGTTTTTGTGTTTTTGTGTGTGTGTGTGGATCAAAACATACATTCATTCTTTATGTACAATGATGATGATGATGATGATGATTATGATAATCCCAACATTTCATATTCATCCAATTCAGAAAAATAAAACAAAACAGGAAAAATAAAACCCAACCTGCTTTTTGTTTTACTGATGATGAAAATTCATTAAATTTGAACACAACAACAGCAACAATGATGAGAAAAACAACAACAAAAAAAATAAAAAAAAAATTCCTACCATTTGAATCAGCAATGAAGAATATTCTACATCCGATTCGAGGAAAAAAATAATGAAAAAAAAAAAAAACAACAACAACAACAACAACGCCAAATGAAAAATAAAAATAATAAACGAATGAAAAAAAAAGAAAAAGACAAAAAAAAACAACAACCAAGATCATCATCGCCGTCGTCGTCAACGTTGTTGTTGTTGTTGCTGCTGCTGTTGTTCCAGGAACACTATAACAATAATAATAATAATAATAACGCTAGGAATCCCAACAAACAATGAATTCTCTCTTCTTTTTTTTTCATTCATTCCCTCTATTCTATTCTATTCTTTTCTTTTTATTATTATTATTGTTTCTTTCAATTCAATTCAGTTTCTAGCTGGATGGATGGCGTCGACGCCATCATCATCATCATCATCATCATTGTTGTTATTATTTGAGAATCGGGCAATGATGAACACACACACACGCACAATGACAACAACAACAGGAAAAAAAACTATATCTTTTTTTTCTTTCTCGCCATTCGGGATTCTTTTTTTTTGTTGTTGTTGTTGTTGCCGGAATACTAATAATAACAACAACAACAGATATTCGTTTGGAAAGAAGTGAAGTGAAGAAAGAGAGAGAGAGAACGAAAACATTGGGCGTGTTTTTGCAGTTTTTTTTATTCTTTCTCAATTTTTATTCGTGTTTTTTTTCTTTTTTTTTGCTATCGTTTTTTTTTCGTTGCTTTGCTTGATTCTGGTTGGCCGTCGCTTTGAATTCGTTTGTTCGTTTTTTTTTGCTTCGTTCAATTTTGTTTCGTTTTTTTCTTTTTTTTTGGTTTTGGTTCGTCGATTCTGCTTTTTTTTCGTTTTTTTTCTTCTCTTTCTCATTTCATTTGGTTTGGTTTTCGGTTCGTGGATTCTCTCTTTTTTTCTTGTGGTTGTTGTTGATGTAAAATCGTTTTTTTTCTACAAAGAATTTTGTAGTGGTATTGATCAAGGCTTTGGGATTCTCTGGTTGGCTGCAAATTCAATCAAACCATCCACCCATTAGCATTATATTCTATATGCTACTACTATTCGAATCATATATATATAGATTTTTGGAATAGATTCTTTACTCATGTTTTGTTTGTGTGTGTGTGTGTGTGTGTGTGTGTACCAAAAAGTTTCTCTATATTTTTGGCTGGCTTCAAAAAAACCTTTATGCTTTTTTCATCTTTACTAAAAAAAAACGACGGATATTTTCGTTTTTTCCCGTCACTTTTTTTTCTCCTCTTTGGTTATTATTATTATTATTATTATTGTGTTCATGTTGTTGTTGTTGTTGTTGTTGTTGTTCATGTCGTGTACACTAGCAGTCATCATCATCATCATCATCATCATCATCATCATTGGGATTCTTCCTTTTTTTTCTCCATTTTTTTTTTGTTTGTTCGGGTATCTAGTTCTCTGGTTTTTTTTTCTTTTTTTCCTTTTCTTTTTTTTCCTCTCTCTTTTTTTTTCTCGCTCGTTTATTCGCATTGGCTATGTCTCGATTTTTTTCTTTTTTTTTGTCTTGTGTTTGTTGAGAAAGAATAAAATAGAAACACATACACACACACGGCGACATAAAACAACGGAAAAACATCGTTACAATCGTTTTTTTTTTCCAAATGCAAAAATTCATTCGAATCATATTAGATCAGACGCGCGGTTACTGGCCAACACGACAGAATAACAGCAAGAATCTTTCGAATTCTATTAACAACATTGACTTTTTCGATTTTTTTTTCATAAAATTCTCAAAACAATTCTAATTTTTTTTTGCATTTATTGAATCACAGGATTTTTGACCAAATTATCGATTGTGAATACACGAAACCTAAAATCGTCATCATCATCATCATCATCGTTACATTGCCCTACTAATTCAGATTACAAAAGGGAAAAATAAAACTGATTTCAGATTTCGTCACACTTTCTCTTTTATTGTGTTTTTATTTGTTCAATTTTATCAACTCAACATTCTCAACACCGACATTATAATCGGAAAAAGTTTTCAGACAGACACAAAACAACACAACACTGATTATTGTAATCAATTTTCATTGAAATTTTTTTTTTTACAATTTCATTCCATTATCTTATTGTTTGTCACATTGCATTATCATCATCATCATCATCATCATTGGAAGTTGGTTCATTCAACTGTGTGTGTGTATAACAAATGTGTGTTTTTGTTTGTGGAAAAAAAACTTTTACCTACCTATTTTTCATCAAAAGTTCTGGTGCGCCTAAACTACCCATATTGATGATAATGGACAGTACAAAAAATATTTGTTTAATTTTGTGAATTTTTTTTTGTTGAAATTTTTTTTTCAAATTCACTAAACAAATCATCAATCCTGTTTTACGTTCATCTTTTTGTGTTTGTGTGTGTGTGTATGTTTTTCAACAAATTGACAAATTGATCATTTTTTTCATCTCGAAAAATACACATTTAAATATATATTTGGTAATTGTTAGACGGGTATATATATTGAAAATTACATAAATATATACCCGACTAACACACCACTTTCAGCTAACCAAACGATAGAATAAAAACCGTCAAAATAAAGCTAAAAATTATGTCCAAAGCTTTTGCTGCTTCAAACAACAATTCGATTAATAATAATAATAATAATAATAATCATAGAAGCAGTAGCAGCAATATTCAAAATATTGGACGTCATCATTCGCATCATCATCATCATCAACAACAACAACAACAACAACATCAATTACATGCTCATTCCACAACAAATAATAGAATAACAACAGCAACAACAAATAATAATAATAGCGGTAATTATTCAATGAATATGGGTTCATTCAATGCAAGTAGTTGTTATGATCAAGCCGTTGCCAATATGATGTCAACAAATTATGGTGGACTATTATCAGCTGCATTTGGTGATCCAATGCGTTCATTATTTGGTGTACGAAATTTACCTGGAACCAATGGTACCGGTAATAGTAATAATGGTACATCGGCAGCTACAGCCGCAACCAATAATCAAACAGGATCGTCATCAAATTCCAATCAAAATTCCGCTGGTGGATCATCATCCGAACATTTACAAGCGGTAAGTGATGATGGTTTTTTTAGTTTATTGAATTATTTTTTTTATTGATCGATTGATTGAATTTTGATTATAATATAATAGATTTATGGAACCAAAAGTACACATCATCATCATTCACATCATATGAATAGTGGTGGTGGAGCCAATACAAATGGTGGTGGTATTGGTCAACCAAATTCAGCTATGAATGCACATCAACAACAACAACATCATCATGCCCAACATATGCAACAACAACAATCACATCATCAAACATCACAACAACATCATGCCCATCAACAACAACAGCATCAATCACATCATCAATCGCAACAACAACAACAACAACAACAGCAGCAACAACAACAACAACAACAACATCAAAATCAATCGGATAAAGATTTTTTTTGCGAATTATGTTGTAAACGTTTTTCACAAAAAGGTAATTGTCATTTTTACATTGTTGTTTAGCCCCGGTTATAACATAGATAATTTTTTTTTAGGTAACCTAAAAACGCACATAAGATCCGTACATACGAAAGAAAAACCATTTACCTGTCCTGTTTGTGGGAAAACTTTCTCGCAAAAAGGTATGATTTTATTTTATTATAATTTATTACAACTAATCCACTTAAATTAGTTTCTTAAGATGCTATATTTAAAGAACGTGTTTCGACACGCAAGTCATTATTATTTTTCAAACACAAAATCATTCTGATTTTTTTTCAAATTTTAGGCAATCTTAAAACACATATGCAACGTCATGCTGGAACGTATCCATCACAGAAACGTAGTACAAGTAGCCGTCGTAATACATTAGCCAATCATCCGAATAATCCACCTAATCCAGCCGCTATGGTTGCAGCTGTGAATGGAAATCAACATAGCGGTGGTGGTGGTGGTCATCATACTGTGGAACGTGTTTCATCAGCATCATTAATGCAAGCAGCTGCTACATATGGACCAAATTCCGTACTTGATCTTGGCCTTGGAGCTGTAGCCGCTGCGGCTGTAAATCCAAATAATAATAATAATAATAACGCAGGTGGTCATGATACAAGACCGAATGGATCACCATCACGATCATCATCTGTAACCGATGATGATGGCGGTTCATCATCATCACCATTAAGCGATATACCCTCGGCAGCGGCGGCAGCAGCCGCAGCAGCAGCTGCCGCAGCATCATCACATCATTCCAATTTATTGAATGCAAGAAATCACCTGAATCACAGCCTTTCCAGTGAGTTTCACCAACAGCCGTTGATGGCACAAATTCCATATTCCATCCATTGTTTGATTGCTAGGTCAGAACAATCAAAGAAATTTCGAAATCGGTAAAACAACCGATTCAACAACTGATCCAACAATGATATCATTTGTCAATGCAACTGGTGTTAATGTTGGACCATCATCATCATCAGTTGCAGCCGCTGCACTTACACTTTATTCACCATCAACAACAAATCAACTACTGGTCAAGCGGCGGCTGCAATTGTAAATAAATAATCCATTATCCTCACATTCAACATCATCAGCAGCCGCAGCATCTAGTTGGCTTTCCGGTCATCCAGCTAATTTAAGCCATAAATCTATATTCAACAATAATAATCATGCTGCCAATAACGGTACCGGTAGTAGTAGTGTCGGTGTTCACAATAATGGACGTAATACTACAATCTAATGGTCCATTTCTAACGACACCATATGGAAATTTTGCATCACCGTTAAGCCGTTTATCATTGTTTAACGGTATGGCAGCCGGTATGCATGCCGCCAATTCGGCTACCATATGCCTTGGACATATGATGAATGGTGCTACAGCCGGATTTGTTGCCGGAAATAATACCAATAATAATAATGATCAAAAAATTTCGTAATAATAATGATCGTGAAAATAATATTCAACGTAATAATAAATCATCCAAGACGACGGCGACGGTTACAACATGATGATCTGTGACTACTGACTGTTATTATTGATCATCAATAATTGTATGTAAATTATTTTTAATCCAACAAAAAACTTGACTCTTGATTATTTTTATTTGAATTCTTTTTTTTAGCTATAAAATGAATAAAACATCAAGAATCAAATTCTGTACATAATCGAATTATATGATCCCCATCACACATACACACACACACAAAGATTGAAAACAAATAGGCAGATGCTGTCATTTTCTTTTAATTTAATAATTTGCTGGATCTCATCGTCATCATCATCATCATCATCATCATTTTTTGTATTTGTGTGTGTGTGTCCAATTTTCAAAATAGAAAATGAAATTTTTTTTGTATATGTGTGTGTTTTTTATTTTGTACCTACCAATCATTATCATCTTCATAATGAATTTTTCAAAATGTTGTTGTTGTCGCTGTTGTTGTTGTTGTTGTTGATGATGTCTTCATCATAATCATCATCATCATCATCATCAACAACTGGAAGAAAATCCCAAAAAATAAAAATAAAAGCTTGAAATGATGATTCTATTTATATTTGTAAGTGTTTAATTCATCATCAATGAATCTCTTCTATATTTTTTATCTTTGCAAGATGTGATAGTCATTCATATATACCAATTGATCGACCGACATAATCCACACACCAGACATACATACACACATCAATAACATGTGCATCAAATGCAATTTTGGTGAAGCACAGACACACACACACACCCATATCCTATAAATATATGCCAATTTTGATACCAATGATTCTGTATACGCACACATAAATATAAATATAAATATATACGTATATTAATAGACTTGCTGATTTCCGGTCCGGTTTTCACGTATAAAGACAAATTTCCTGTTATTCAACAACAACAACAACAATAATGTCCAAAAATATCGACTTGAATTTTTCAAATTTTCCTTTTTTTTCATTTAATATCAAATTTTTTTTTCTTTCGTTTGGTTTTCAATGATGCATTACCAAGTCTCTCTCTCTCTCTCTTTCTCTAGTCGTAATAATTCATTAATTCGGGTATGTTATATCAATCAACTCAATATTTTTACCATCAAATGATATGTATCATAACAGAAAAAAATTAACTAATTGTCCATCGGATGACAATGAAGACAAGCCAGCCTGCAAAGCAAAAAAAAAATGTACAAAACCTGAAGAATAGTGAAAAAAAAAATCATGTACAAATTATAAACGAAACAATGCACGAGAGGCCATCTATCGGATGGTATGAAAAGTTTGATAATTTTAAAAAAAATTATGATATTTTCCAAACCAACGACTACTAAGACGACCAGCGATTGACCAATTGCAAAAAAAAAAATTTTTTTTTTGTGTAATAACTAACTCAAAAAACGATGATGTTTTGTTTTTTTTTTATTTTATGAACCCTACAAATGTCAACTGATTCTTTTTTTTTGTATTTTATTATTATGTGTTTCGATTGTCGCAAATAATAATAATAATAATTTTGTAATTTAAACCCCTTATATTAAACACACAGACAGACAGATTTATAAAAATGAAACAAACATAAACAATCAATCAATCATCGACTAAACAATATATAATGATAATAGTTGTGTTTCTTTATTTGATGTTGAACATACGCACTCATACACACTTACACACACACACACATACACACCTCCCACCAGCATAATGATGAGTTATGATCATCCACACCATCATTTACAACCATTACCATCATACATATGTCGATGAGACCACCCATGGAATTTTTATTATTATTATTATTATTGTAATCCATGAATTCTTTTTTTTTAATTTTAATTTTTTTCTCTGATTTCTGACTTGATTAAATGATAATAATAATAATCGATAATCGATCAATCAATCAATCAATAATAGTTTTAAATCAATGAATGATGGTTGTGGAAAACTTGTATATAGATATATTATTAAATAACATTACAAAATATTTTATTTTTGAAGGGAACAACAAAAAAATCGATCATTTTTCGATCGATCAGTTTTTTTCTTTTTTTTCTGGTGAAAAAAAAACAAAAGCCACAAAAAGTTATTTTTTTTTGTTCATTTCAAATATTGAGAAAAAAAACTACTCTCAAATAATCCAATCGAATCAATAAATAGACCTTTTCTCTTGTTTTTGTTGTGTTTGTGTATGTGTGTTACCATTGACGTTTGTAAAATATCAATTGTACATCATTAGCATTATGATGATTTCATCCATCTAGTGTTGCTACAATTCGATGTTTGTTACTTGTTGGTTGTGATCATCAAATATAACCATACAACATCGTTTTGTGTGGATATGATCGTTGTTGGTTGATTACACATCTTTGTTGTTGTTGTTGTTGATGATGATGATGATATTTGCTTATTTGCTCATTGCTACTGCCGCTGCTATGGATATTAACTCATACCGTTATCATCATCACATCAACATTATCATTATGTTCCTGTTATATTTCCAAAATAATGCCTGTTTATTTTTTGGTCAACTTTTATCATCGATTTTTTTATCGATTAATTGATTGATTCATCATCATCATCATCATCATTAACAATAACAACGATAGTGAAGAAAAAAACATTGAACTAGATGATTGTTTTTTTTTTACTTCTGGATAGACAAAAATTTTGATAATAATCATGGCAAATGAATATGAAATAAATCCAAATAATGGTGGTGGTGGTGGTGGTGGTAATAGTAGTAATGATCAACAACAACAGCATGGTCAAACAACGATATCAAATCAACGAACGAAAATAAAAAAACATCGTTTACCAGTGGAACGAAGTACAAGTGAAATTGTACGAACATATCGCAAACGATTTGATTCATCAAATGATGATGATGATGATGATGATTATGATGATGTTGATGGACGACAAAAACGATGTATGAAAATATCAATCATAACAGATGATAATGATAATAATACCATCAGGATGACCAATCGACCACCAAGTATGTAAATATAAAGAAATTTAATAAAATTTTAACATTGAAAAATTTTTTTTTCTTCAACATTTTCATTTATAGATAGCCGCTGGAAACAGCAACGATTACCTGCATGGCAACCAATGTTAAAACCGACATCAGTTTTTATTTCATTCATTATTTTTGGCTTGTTATGTATTGTCATAGGTGTAATAATGTACATTACAAATGAAAAGATACGTGAATATATTATTGATTATACGGATTGTCGACGTATGAATCCAGTAACCGGTTTAAATCAAAGTGAATATTGCCGTGATCGTTGGAAATATCAATGGGATAGTTGTCAATGTTTATTAAATTTCACTATTACCGAACCGATCGATGGACCATTATTTCTTTATTATTCGTTGGACGGTTTCTATCAGAATCATCGCCGTTATGTTGCATCAATTGATCATCGACAATTAATGGGTGAACAATGTTCATTAACATCGATACGTTCAAATTGTTATCCATATTCCGATATCAATGGAACAATAATTGCTCCCTGTGGTGCTATTGCTAATTCAATGTTTTCAGATACATTTCAATTACGTCGTATCATTGTAGACAATAAGAATCAATATGAAAAGATTTACATCTGGCAAAAAGATATTTGTTGGCCAACTGATCGACAAAATCTTTATAGAAATCCATCCAATGGTTTTGATTCGTATGCAAAACCAGTGAATTGGTCAAAAAATTTCTATGATGATATCATATTGAATGATAATAATGTTGCCGGTCATGGTTATCTCAATGAACATTTTATGGTTTGGATGCGTCCAGCTGCATTTCCTAAATTTCGTAAACTATGGGGACGTATTGATGTTCGATCATCCATTGGTAAAAACGACGACGACAATAATAATCATGATGATAATCAATTTGAAGCCGGATCATATCAATTACTAATTGATTATGGTTAGTATGTGTGTATTTTTACAAATTGAAATGATAATAATAATAATTTTCTTTAATTGTTTTCAATCAAAAAAAAAAAAAAAACAATCAATTCAGATTATCAGACCGTATCGGAACATTTACGTATACCGAAAAAAGTAATCATATCAAACATGTCATGGATGGGTGGAAAGAATCCATTTCTTTCGATTTTATATATGATTGTTGGTGTCATCCTATTACTTACAGCTATTATATTTCTTATTGTTTTCAATAAAATACGATGGAAAGATGAAATGGAAATTCAACATCAACTTTCTTCGACCAATCCACAACAACAACAACAGCAACAACCGGAAATGAAAAATCATTTCCAATATTATCATTCAACTAGTCAATGATATATAGGGGAATCAATTAATCTAATTCAGTCTGAATTTGAATGGCAACATTTTTTTTCACAAAAAGTTTTTATTTTTTACAAGATTTTTATAAAGTTTTTTTTCATTTATTTATTAAATTCATTCATTCATTCAATAAACAGCAATTTTTTTTCGTTGCTTTCATTAATCAACAACAACAGAACAGAAAAAAAATGGAAAGATAACAAATATAATGTTCAGTTGTGGAAAAGGGGGAAGTGGAAACAGAAAAAACAATTCATCATAGAGAAAGAAAGGAAAAACGTGATGGTTGGTGGGTGGTTTTTTTGCCCAAGGAGAAAAAATACAAGGATTTGTTCAGTTTAGTGTGTATGTGTGTGTGAGTGTGGATGTGGCAATTGTGAATTCTTCATTTCATTTAAAAATGACATAATCATATGTTTATTTCTGAGTGGGCGTATATCGTGTATGTGTGTGTGTGTGATTATTATTTTATGTTACACAAACATTTAAATGATTTGATTTGGCAGAATATTTTGTGCGCCCGCATCTATACACCTCTTCCGGGTAGTAATTCTGATAGAAAATTCTTCTCCCTTTCGTTTATTGTTTTCAATTGGACACTTTAACCGTTGTTTGTGATGTTGATGATGATGGTGATCTCGTTTTGGTTTTTGTTTCATTATCATCATTATTATTATTATTGTTCATTGTTGTTGAATGTTGTTGGATCATCATTTGTTCATCATCATTATCATCGAATGTTGAATGTGATTGATGATTGGTTTTTGATAGTTTTAGCTCATCATTCAATATTTGGACACCATGATGATTCATTTCATCATTATCCGAATCATCGATCATTGGCATCGTCATTAACATTGTTGTTTTTTGTGATTGTTGTTGCTGATGATGCTGTTCATGTTGCCATTGGCGACATTGTTCACATAATGCATTCAATAGATGATGACCATGGGTTGCTGTTTGTATGACACCTTGAACCAAAAAAAAAAAAAAAGAATTTCAATAATCATTATAAATAACATAACATTATATAACATTTTGACTTACTTGGACTTCGACGTTTACAATAATTATTTAATATAGCATTATCATCATCATCATCATTATTATTATCATTATTAGGAATTAGATTATTATTATTCTTTTGTAATAAATGAGCATGGGCGGTGATGGGCAGTGAATGATGGCGATGATGACGATGATGATGATAATGAGAATGATGATGTGGATTTATTTGTTGAACCATTGAAGAGGTGGTGGTGGTGGTGGCGGTGATCACTGCATTTGTGATTAATGATGATGATGTTGTTGTTGTTGTCGTTAATGATAATATATCTGGTCCATTATCATTATTATTCATCCAGGATTGTCCAGGATTAATATTATGATGATGATAATTACTACTAATCGATGTTGTCCATATTGGCTCCGACATTGAGCAATTATTCATTGTTTTTTTAATCATATAATTATTATCCAAAATGTTTTGATTTAAACATTCTGTTGTTGTTGTTGTCGTCGTCGTCGTTGTTGTTGTTTGTTGATTATTACTAATAATAAATCTATTTGTATTGGAAGGCACCGAAGACAATTTGGACAACGTACAATTCGATTCTTGTTGTTGTTGTTGGTCAAACATTTTAAATGTTTGTTGTTGTTCCTTATCATCATCATCATTATTATTCACCTGAGCATTTGTATTTATATTCTGTGATTGTTGTTGTTGATCTATGTTGACTGATGTAATACTTACACGGCTACGTTTATGTTGAATGTTCATCATTTTAGATGCGGATGATTGATGTGGATTAGATAATAATATTTGATCTGAATAATCTTTTTTCTGATTAGAATTATTATTATCATTTGTCGTTGTGATCGTTACTGATGTATTTGGATTTGTTAAACTACTTTGTGAATTTATTGAACCAGTACCACTGTTAATGATTGCACGATTAATTAAACTACCGGTTTGATTACCACCAGCAACAGTTTGATTAAAACCACCGCCACCGCCACCACCACAAGTTGTAGCTCTCATTATGCTACTATTACCACTGGCAATACCTCTTGTTGATCCAGCACCTTGTGGCATTCGCATAGGTGCACGTAATACACGTGGTTGTTCAACCGGTAATACCCGACGACGTTTTTTAGGCAATTTAGCCCTTGCTTGTGTATGTGAATAAAACATGGCAAAATTTGAAACAATAACAGGCACAGGTAAAGCGATAGTCAATACACCAGCCAATGCACATAATGCTCCAACAAACATGCCGGCATAAGTTTTTGGAGCCATATCGCCTACAATTTCATTAAAATGAAAAAATTAAAAATTGATCAACAATTTAAAAAAAAGAATAAAAAACACAAAACAAACCATAACCAACGGTAGTCATTGTGACCAATGCCCACCACAATCCTAATGGTATTGAATTAAAATCATTCTCTGGATTTGATTGAATACGTTCTGCATAATAAACAAGACTAGCAAATATCACGATACCAAGTATGAGAAAGAATACGAGCAATATTAATTCACGGGCACTGGCTTTAAATGTTTGTATAAGAATTTTTAGACCAGCTGAATGACGTGTTAATTTAAATAGACGCATTATCCTAATGATGGATAAAAATTCTAATATATCAGCATTCTCCAATTGTGTGTACATTCGTTGTAATATTAGATCAATATAGAATGATAATGTGGCCGTTATGTCTATCACATTGACAGCGCCTAGAAAATTTTTTGAAAAAAAACAAATAAAAAGTTTAATATTTGACCAACAACAACAAAAAAATAGGCACATTACCTTTTAAGAATACAACTTTACTTGGTGAACAAGTAAATCTAGTGATAATTTCCATAGTAAACCAAGCATTACAGACACATTCAATGTAGAAGAAGGCCTGATGTGGATTTGTTTGATTTTTATCAAGAACCCAAGCTTTAGTGCTAGTTGTTGTCATCACAGTTATGTTCCTGATGGATGGTACACGCATATCCGGATGTGTTTTCAAACAAAATGATACTATTGATACACAGATAAAAAATACTGATAACAACCCGACTACTTTGGCCGAATTCGATGAATATGGTTCATCAGTTAAGGACCATAGTTTTGGTTTTAGCCGTTGCCACCATGATAATGTACCATTAAGATAATCTTCTTCCATACCGAATTTACGGGCAATCTCTTCGTCACTTGGTTTCTCTGTATCTAGATCTAATCGATCTAATACGGCCAATGTTTCCTGTGTATCACGATGTTGTGTATAGGTTTTCCAACAACAAGGTTCCACCTGATTCGAATCTAATCCCCAGAATTCTAGTTCTTCTTCAAACAATGGACCACACACATCCGTTGGATAATGTAATTTTCCTGTACGATAATAATTAAGAATCTGACCAAAAACTCCGGGATGGCGATCAAAAAAATATTCATCTAATATTGGATCATAATTGGCTAATGCTTCCGTTAATCGTGATAGACGTGTAGCCGGTATTTTTTTCAATGTTGCCTTATATGTTTCGTGTCGTATACCGCCAACATTTAATATGACACGATTCTCTGAATCAGCATTCATAGTCATTGTCATGGTCGATAATAATTATGATTATGGTTCATATTCGGTTGATCAATATCAGCCAATAATGATAATGAATATTTTGTCATCTTAATAACATGATGATCTATGATCGTTGATGATAATAATAATTTATTGATCATATCCATATGATGATGATCATTGTAATAATGACATGTACTTTTCATAAATTCATTTTTGATTATTGGCAATACGTCATCTTTAAAATGTATTACCATCATCATCATCATCATCATCGTTATCATTGCCATTCACAATGAAAACAACCGAAAACGGTAATTGGACATTTAATGATGATAATTTTTTTTCATTTGGTCAAAAAAAAAAAAAAAATGTTTGTTGTGCGTCCGAGGATGACCGTGAAATTGTGCACCCAGAAAAAATACAACCAGCCAGCCAGCCAGCCAACCACAATCGAATGATTTGTTGTTGTATTTGATTTCAAGATTCAAATCCTAAATGAGAAAAATAAAACAAAATGAAAAAGAAGAAAAAAATCAGAATCATTTATAAAGAATTCAAACAAATGATCGATTTCAATCGAATCAATAATTTTCATGAAAGCCAACCGGACAATGTATGTATGTATGTATGTATATGTATCACGTTCCCGAGTTGTTTTTTTTATTCGGTATTTTTTCTCAACTATAGAATGATTGAATGTTTGTGTATCATATTATTATACAAAGACCAACGAAAATAAATAAAACAAAAACAAAAAAGATAAATATCACACATAGAGAAAAAATGATTTGTTGAACAAATAAAAAAAAGTATTTGATCTGAATGATTATATGGATCAAACATAGTTATTATTATCATCATTCTCATTTGATGGATATGGATCACCAATTTTGTTCATTGAAAATGGCCAATTTTTTTCAAGAATTTATTCATTTTTTTCATTTCATTCACCATCATCGTTTGTTTTGTCAATTGACATTTCACACACACACACACACACACACCACAGATATTTGTTTTTCTTTTTTTTTCTTTCCATTTCTACCGATATCACTTTTCGATGGTGTTTGATGATGGGCACTCGATTTTTTTTGTCCCAAATGGAACACGACACACCCAAACCAAATTTCAAACATAAAGACTGGCTTTTTTTCGTTGTTGTTGTGGAACGAACCAAAAAAAAAAAATGTATTGCTATTCCCCAATGATTATTGATTATTGTCAATCGATTTTTTTTTTTTTTTATTTGTTATGTCCAATTTTTGGTCTATTAACGATGGTTTGAAATATGAATGTTTTGTTTTGTTGTGTGTGTGTGTGTATGGTTTTTTTTCTGGGATAATTTTCGACTATCCATCCATTTATTCATTCATAATAATAATATTTACCAATAAATATTTGAAAGAATTATTCTTTTCTTGTTTTCGGTTATTCCGTTAACGGTCATTTTTTATGAATAGCATCCACATACACACACACACATAGAGAGAGAAACCAACCAATCAATCAATCAATCAAAAACTACCAGAAAAAAAAGTGTTCGATCATTTTTTTTTTTATTCGTTCACAGTATTTTGTAGTTGATTTTTATTGATTTTTTTTCTAATTTTTCGGTCATTTTTTTTGATCAAATAAATTTTTTTTTGTGTATAAGGCAATTGTGTCACTATATGATGGCATTACTATTCTTATCACAACCGAAAAGGAAATGAAAAAAAAAAATAATTGAAATGATGATGGACATCATCGATGTGTGTGTGTGTCTGTTTTCCTTTTTTTTCTCTCTCTCTCGCTCTCTCTATCTATCTCTCTCCCATAAAGTTTATTTTATGAAAATTGTTTACTATCGTTTCGAATTATTATTAGGTTTTTTTTTTACTTGGAACAATTTTCATTTCCAATTTCAAAGTTTAAAGTCAAAGATTATTTATCGTTATGGCCATATGGTCATCATAATGATTGGATCATAAAAAAATGAATGTTTTTTTATGATCAATCATTATTGGTTATCATCATATATTAAAGGTTTTGATAGCAGCATTTTCATCAATAATCATTGCCTATAGTCCTCTTATATACAAAACACCCACACACACACTGAATGTTTTTTATACCCAAAAAATTTTTTTGACGATAGTCAGTCAATATGTCGTCAACATTATCATTATGTTGATGATAACCGGCAGCGATGCATCATTTTTCTTGGTGAAATATTTTTTTTTTCATCTTCATTCTAATGTTATATACATTGATTGATTGATTAATGGTAAAACTTATCATTTTATATATATTCACCCACAGACACACAGGGATTGGAAACAAACAAACATTAAAAAAAAAAAATAAAGTCAATATCAAACGACCGTCAAAAAAAACTATAAAATAATGCCGCAGGTTTTTTTTCTGCAGATGCAGCAGTCATTCTTCAATTTCTATAAACCTACGTTCAAAATGATATATGTGTATATATGATGTATATAATGATAAATTGATAAATTCGTTTGTTATGGCCAACTATACCAAAAAAAAAAGTTACTATTCACAACATTTTGGTGTTTTCATCAATATAATCAGGAGAAAAAAACTAGTGTTTCAAACAAACAAAAAAAAAAACGAGAGGCTTCTTTTTTCGTCCAAATAATAAAATCAATCGATTCGGGCCATTTTATTTTACAGAATCATTTTTTTTTGTCTGGCTTCTATTACCACATTCAATCGACATTAGACAATCGTTGTATGTGTGTGTATGTGCAGAAAAAATGAAAATAGAAAAACATTGAATGACGAAAACAGAATAACGATAAAATGATGAACATCAAAATGTTTCATATCCGGGGACAAAAAAACGTCCGAAAAGAAAATTGAAAAATTTTATGGACGTATGGCCCAGATTCAATTCATTCTCATAAAAAAAACAAACTTGATATAGATTCATTCATTTATTCTCTGGAACAAAATTCTGGTAAAATCAAAAGAAATTCATTGTTGTTGATTCCATTTCATAAGTGTGTGTAGTATGTGATTCGTACCAAATTTTAGATTTCTAAAAAAAAGAGGAAAAAAATTGAAACTCGAAAAAAACACTGTTCCAGGAACAAAAACGATTCTCATCATTATCATCAAATTGTCGTCGTCGTCATTAGGCTTCATCAAATTGTTGAAAAATAAAAAAATTTTTTCTGTGTGTCAATCGATATCATCATTTAAAATGATGTTTTTTTCTTTGTTTTTTCTTTTGATGCATTAATCGATCGATTGACAGAAATAAAAAATAAATATAAATTTTCAACACACATTTCATGATAACGGTGAAACAAACCCAAAATGTCAATGTTTATTTACAGCCTTGAAAAAATTGGTCTAAATGGATTTGAGAGAAATAAAATTGATGCGGCAACATTTTCAATCATTTTCATTTTTAAAAAATGGAAAAAAATTATTCTGTTTGAAACAAGCATTTATTTTTTTCATTTATTTAATCATTTCATTCATTTTCAATGCTAATCATCAACTGATGTAAAATGATGGTGATTTGATTTACTACATTACTTGCTTACACTTTGAGATTCTCAGAATATACACACGCACTCACACACACACACACACACACACACACACACATATATATATGCCATCATGTCAATCAATCAATCACAAATCACAAGACAATCCTAGTTAATGTTTTTAAATATCGAAGCCAGGCAAAGTCAAAAAAAAAATTTATAAAAACAAAATTTAGAAAAAAATTTTAAATCTCATTTTTTTCGGTTTGTTTGTTTCTATATAACACAGTCGATCAATTTCGAATATCATATATGATTAGCTTCGGAATGCTGCTGCTGCTGCTGTTGCTGCTTCTGTATGCATGGCATGCATTTTTAAAGCGGATTTTGTCGAGGATTTTCTTTTTCTTTTTTTTTCGAAATTCAATGTCTTGTTTTGTTTGTTTGTTTATATTAAAAGCACATACACACATGCACACAATTGCACAGCCAATATTATTGTATTCAAGTAAGCGAACAAACACAAAATTTAAAAGAATCAAAAACCAGAGCAAAAAATGGTCAATTTTGCAAAAAAAAAAAAATTATCTGATTGCTGCTTCTCCAAACAACTACTACATTGAAAATTGAGTTTTTTTTCAAGAATATTCTTGAAAAAATAAAAAAAAACAAACAAAAAATGCCTATTGATGTGGAAATTTCGCAAATAAATTTTTCTTCTACGGTGACGTTACCACGTCGCTTCATTATTAAATATATTCGACATTAAGTTACGATTGTGTGAAAATATTTTGAAACTTTTACAAATAACAATATTACAACAACATTTATGATGATAATGAATATTATTATTATGGCGATGAGAAAAAAAAATCAACAAACAACCAAAAACTATGGAACAATAATATGGTCACTTGCGTGTGTGTATGATCGCTCTCATTCTTGATGTGAAAAACAGAGAAAAAAAAACTTTATTCTTCAAAATATTATGATAAGAAAAAATTCTTGGAACAGCCCATTCCAGGATTATTATTGTGTGCGTTTTGGATACATACTTGAGAGAGGTAAATAAAATTTCATGTTACTTTTATACAAGTTTTAATTACTAATAAAAGTAACTATCGAAAAATAGTTTATGATGATGATAGCAGTGAATATTCGTTGTTTTTACTTTGTGGATTTTCTTTGAGAAACACTTCATCAAAACAACAACAACAAATGAAACAACAAAACAGTGAAGTCATGACGATGATGATAATGATGATGATGGAAAGTGAAAATATATATATATATACAGGGCGTCCGTAAAGTAACTGACTGATTTTAATTGAATCCTATTTTTTATGTATGAGATTTAGATGCATGAAGTGCTATGCAAAATAAAGGAAATTTATTAGGATTTTGTATTCCATCATTGAAATTTTTTAAAAATCACCATATCGCCCGAAAAACCGATAATTACCGATCGATGTCCAAACGCGGTTTCACCACTGCCAGCCAGTGGCTGTATGTGACTGTGTGTGGCCGTACATGCCAGTACTGGCACATTAACAAATGACGGTAAAATTTTATGGAATTTTCATTCAAAATTATGCATTCTCCTCAATCAGTTCAACATTTAGGATCAAATGTTAAACTGATTGAAAATGATTCAGATCAATTCAAATTATTGATATTGATGGTACATGAATTGTCCACTGGTTTGAGTCAACGCATAAGGACCAACAATATTTTATTGATAAAGTTTTTTATGAAGACAATGAAAATGAATAATCATATTGATGGCATTCTCTTCAATCAGTTTAACATTTTGGATG